ATATAATATCATATAATATCATATAAACTGATATAATATAATATGATATAAACCATTACCAAGATACTTTACAATACTTTAGTTTAGCATGACTGGTTAGTGATGTAATCTTTGTAAATGTATACTCTTTGTAAACAAAAACAAACAACTAGCTGGTTAAAAAAAATGAACCAAATCTCCCATTCTGTAAAGCTGCATATTTTTCAGATAAATCCAGTACAGTCCAAGTCAAATCTTGAGAAGATGTCAAACACTGCTCAGCGAAAACGTGGCCTGATGCAGGGCCTATTTGCTCTGTGTTTGGGCCAAGAATCACTCTGACACTGACATATGTCTAACTTACGCAGACCACAGTGACAAATCCTGTGCATACAAGGATGCTTTAATCAGAAACAGTTAGTTGTAAAACAGCTGCTGTATAGAGAGATTTCATGAGGCAAATTAACACAGAATCAGAGTTCAGACGGCAGACTGCAGCTACAGTATATGAACAAAGAGCTATGTAGTCATCTATAGGTTGGTAAGCACACATACTGTGCAAAAATCCCATTTCTCTGAGCTGTGAGATATTGTATAAGCTGCCGTAAGGCTACACAGTGCTTCTGGGAGTGGACAATGGTACTTTTAAATGAAATCCACTCTCGAGCATCTCGGCACAGAGTTATATCACAGGCAGACCGGATCCCCACAGTGAGGTTAGAGCTATGCAGCTCATTTTTAAAACCTCCCGTGAATACATTTATTGCACTGAGACGTTCCAAATGAAAGAGCAGGAGGCGGCGGCCATCGTGCTGATACAGAAGCTATTTTTAGAGGAGGTATACAAATGACAGAAAAATATTATGTTTGGTTTAAGCATTACCTGCTGCAAAGACACTGAAGGCATTGCAGTTAGCCAATTCCACCACCAGGAGGGTCCAGTAACGAAAAGATGAGCTCAGAACCGAAGATTCTTTCAGTTAGTTATTAATTAAAGCTGTTTATAATGGCTTGCAAGTAAAAGATCATCAACAGTAATGTTCATCATGAAGCAAACTCATAACAAATAGTATGATTTCATTGTAGTCAAAGATCTTTTTCATTTTCTTTTTACGGAGTGTGTTTTCTTTTAAAGAGTGAATGCAGAGATGTTTCTCTTCTAAGCATTACGGTGGGTCTCATTGCTGTTATCTGGTGATTTCCAAGGCTGGTAGTTTTACTCACTATCAGACGATGACTAGGAAAATGCTATTTTATCTTATTGTTTATTTCCTGGAAACGATGTTAAGTTGACACCATAATGAGTAAGGAGTGTTAATGATAGAGGAATGAATGAGAGCTTGGGCTTTAAGGGCCTTTGATAGACAGTTGTTGTCATGATCATTATGAGCAATACAACAAATCAGAGAAGGTTAGGCCTAAAAATATTCACGATTAGTCTGATGTTGAACTATTTTATTTCAAGTTGTTTTTTACTTTCGTACAACAAAACCTGCAATTACCAAACACACAACACTGTTATTACCTTTTATTTATACTGTTGATTTAGTGGTAAATTTGGGCATTCAAATTCTCAGTTTTGTATATTTATAAAAGTTCTTCAATCTGTGAGGACAACGTAAAAGAGGTGACTGGGTAGAAATCATCTTTGCCGTAACATTTATACAGCGCTTATCAAAGATAATAAAAGAGCACATAAGTAGTGCTTCAATAGGAATTAAGACAGAACGAAGGTGCAAGGGCCTGCTTAACAGATCCACATTATTATCATTTTTCTTTTATTATCTATTAGGTGCTCACTATGTGGAAGCATCTCTATAAAAGCAGAAGTTTTGAAGGTATTCTGGTCTTGACCATTTAAATATGATAATCTTGGCATGACAATTTTCACACAATTTGCAAATCTTTTTGGAGTCCAACAGAAAGAACGATTATTCACAAGTGGAAAATGTTAAGTTGCTAATCTTTCCAGGGGTGGACATCTGACTATGTTCACCCAAGGGTCAAACAATGCTCACATACTGTGTGACCCACTGTTGCTAAATGAAGGTTAGATTAAATGCAGTAAACATGATGGCAACAAATTAAAAACAAGCATCCTTTAAAAAAAAAGGAGAAATGTATCAGTTTCAACAACCAAAATGTTGTCTTTGTAATACTTTCAGTCAATACAAAACTTTCAAATGCATTTGCATAAAACAATGACTATGTTTGAAAAAACTGATAGGGCCACTAAAAGAACAAATAACTGATTTTAGTAACAGGAGAAAAAGGGTAGAAACATAACGTTTATTCCGACAAGTCATTTAATAACATTATTTATGTCTGCATGAACTCTTAATGACTTTTTAAATCCATTAACATCTGATGGATGGACAGAGACTTTTCTCTTTGCACATACAAAAAGTTTACAGCACAGAATATGTCCGTGCAGGATGCATGTAGACTCCGAGGCAATTATCAATAACACATACAGTATTTCTGCAGGCCTCCGAGGCAGCAGATATTACTAATAGCTCGGGGTTAAGTTTTTCAACCTGCAGCAACAACATGCAAAAAGGGCATGTTTGTGAAATGTCACGCGAAACTTTAGGGTGTGGTGGTGGAAAGGACACAAATGACCTGAATATCAACATCAGGGGAAAAGCTGCTCTCCGCATGCATGCAACCCCTGTGAGCCCTAAACTAAGCACCGTGAGCCCCGCTGCTGCCGCTACCCGGAAATATTACAAGGGCCGGAAAGGACCAATGTTAGGGGAGCACACGTCACTCACTTTTACCCAAAAAATATTACCACCGTCCGTCCAAATTTTTCTCTGCCGTCGAAATATTTGACTAAAGCTCCAGGGCGGCAAAGACGGCCGTAAATTAAATGGTGAGGAGGCTGCTGCGGAGTCCGTTGGCGTTTATTTCACGGGGGAACAGTGTAAGCGCTCACCCAGCTCAGCATCAGTGAAAATGGCTCTGGCTAACGACTGGAAAACGGCACGCAGAAATGGATGCGTACGATAGCTAGCTAGTCTGTTAGAAGAAGGCGTGACAGGCCTCATCCATCTGCTACTGTGCTCTGCAACTGGATGCGTAGGTAAACATCTCCAAAATATAGGTTGCGCAGATGTATATGCTAGCGCTAGCAGCGTAATGGAAATGATAGTCGGCCTGCTTATAACATTGTGGTGAGCAAAGAAGGCTAGCGTTAGCAACAATGTGGCTTTTCTAAAATGCGTGCGGCACCAAATAGCCCGACACGCTGAGCCAGTGTAAAATATGATGCTAAAGAGAACCGTGAAGTTTTGTGTGAAAGCGCGGCCAACGTTTTTTCTTTTTTTCCTCCAAATGTTGGCCAATACTGTTACAGGATGCCACCTCAAGCGCATCCGTTATTACTAGTGTCTGAAAAGTACAGCTAATGTTTACATTGAGCAGCCAGTGCGGCGCTTGTGTTAAGGTTTAGCATTTCTGCCCTTCTTTACAGGTTTGCAGATTTTACATTAAAATGAGAGGCGGTCGAGTATGCAATAGATTATCTTCCTCATCTGCCGGGGGAGCTCTCTGCTGTACGGATTCATCGCATCAATTGGAGGAAACGGTAAGATTTTAAAAGGTGAGCATAGCGAGATTTAAAGTAAGTTTGCCGCGTGCAGCGCACTTGTGACCTCTCCAAAAGTCACAGATTTTTCATTTTCGATGGAGGGAGATGTTTAAGTAACAACTATTGGTTATTATTTTTCTTTTTTTTTCTAAATATATGCAAATGTATTCTATAGTTTACATTTGTTTTTGTTTTGTTTTTTAACTCAGATGCAGATCAGTGTGTCTTAAGAAAATCTGATTTATATCCAAGCACACTGTTTAAACAGCAAATATTAGATAAATTGAAGTGAAAATGGATTATTATATGCAATTAAGAGTAATATGGGGAATGTAATACTAGTGGATGAACAGGTAATTAGTTACTTACTAACTACTGCAGTTCTCTATTATGTATACTTACATATGTTTTGACTGAAATTAAAACTAAAACTCAAAGTGCCTTTGGAGTTATGTGATCATAAACACGCTTAGCTCCTGTTCCTTCCCTTTGGCCCTCTCAATTATTCCCTCTTCCCCATTTTGTGTGGAAGAAAAAATTATTTCCTTTAATCTTTAAGGTGTTTTAGTCATGTTTCCCTTCAACACTGGCACAGGTTGCCGTTTTGAATGGTCAATGACCACCATTTCTTGATCCGTAAAAGAAAAGAAGACACCTTATGTTTGCAAAACAGGGGTACAGCCAAAGGGAGGAGTTGGGCTTGGTCTGAATAGGGGGTAAGTGAAGCTGTGGCGAGCTCACTTCTCAAAAGACGCTTTATTTGAATAAGAATTAGCATTGATGCTCTTTAACTTTTATTTGACATTACTAACAACTGTCCTCTTTTGAGTAATGCAAACTTTTGCATTTCTGCTTAGCTTACGAGCTTAGTAAAAAATAGGAAGATCTTAAATCTATGTCACTAAATTGTTTGAATGAACAAATTTTTGTTTCAATTGCCAAGATTCTTTAGAATTGGGATAAATGGAATTGCTGGGGTACGAATAAAAAATTCCTCTCATTAAAATCCATCATGATCAATCAAGTTGTTTTTTGTTTGTTTTTTAATCAAATGATTGTAAAATGATTGATTGATTGTACATTTTAGAAAATTGTTCAATCTGTTTAGTTATTATTTTGTTGTGTGATTTAAACAATTACTGATTGGGGTGTAAGAAAAGCCCATATATCTATAAAATGTTTATACAGTGTAAATAAAGATAAAAAAAACACATAGATCATTAAAGCATTAAAGTACTTTAGAGTATAGTAAGTAAATAAAAAAGTCACAAGCTCCAAAGTTTTTCTGCTTTCATACAGACACCTACAAAGTAGATGCGTTGAAGGAAAAGCAATCAGGAAACCAAATTGTCTTCTATAGTATAAAGGAGCCTAATGATAAATACAATTGGCATTTATGCAGCATTTCTAGAATTGCTGCACTCCAGCAGAACTGCGTCATGGTAAGTCATTGCAAAAAGGTAAAAGGTTTAATATTTTCTTTGCTAAAGTAGGTGTAAAATGTGTAAAATCTATGAGTTGATGACACAAACTGTTGACTTTAATATCCTTTATCGACTGTAAATTAAAATGTTAAGATTTGTAGCTTAACTGGAAATTGTGATTGTGTATTATTCAAATTTCTAATTAAAACTGTAAGGTTAATTGAGACACAATAATAAAAAAAAACAAAATAAACTTTAGAAATTGAAAAATGTTCAAGGACAATTCAGTGTGATACATTCCAAAGACTTATGCTAAATTCAACCTTGTCATTGTTTGTGTATATGATATTATAATGTAAGGTAACATTGTTGCTCAGTGTAGTAGGTATCTCTCAACTGGACACGTTGACATAATATCAGATTAGTTAGGGATTTTACAGTGGTGTTTTTTAAAAATACTAAATTGTAGTCTTCAGAGAACTGCTATGACTATCCTCCCTCTTTGAATTTTGTTTTTTTCAGCTGTAGGAACTTCTTGGCTGAACACCGATGAGGAATCTTGCTTAGGTGAAGGAAAAAGTCAACGCAGTAATTCTCAAAGGAGACAAGAAGTCGTCATTTGAACTGCTTCTCAATAAAACCTACTTTAAGCAATTTTTTTAATTTGGGTGGAGCTCGTCTACCAGCTAAAAGACAGTTTTACCCTTTGATCATCAATTTATCGCGGTATCAACTGTTGATGAACAGGGAGTGGCAGCATCACAGATAAAGTCTGGAGACATGAACTTTAACCTGTCTTTTCAGTAAGAAAGTAGCCTCATAGCCTCACCCTTAGGGTAAAGTTTGTCTTTCACCAGTGAGTGGTGGGATCTCTGTAGCCGCTCCTAGCGCTGGAGGTTTGGCACCTGCACCCCCATGTGCCAGTGAGTGGGAAATGTTCCAATTTGGAAAATACAATCTGGACATTATAGAGATGTTAAGTGGGCACCAGGCCCACCAGTTCAAAGGCCTTGGTTTAGATCGACAGCTACAACATCAGCAGCAAGTGCAACTTCACCAGCATCAACTCCAGCAGCAGCAGCAGCAGCAGGCTGAGTCATCTGGAGCTCTTCTGTCTGGACTTGGCCTGGGCCCCCTGCAGGGGTCAAGAGGTAACGCCTTTTCTGATTCTGCCTCGATTTTTGCCAAGATGAGTGCCCCTCCTCCCCCACCTTTACAACAACAGCCTTCCTCATCTCAGAGCTCTCGTTCAAAGTCCAGCAAGATGAGCAGCAGCAGCTCAAGCCATTCTTCAGGCTACCCACAGTTCCTGCGCTCTTTCCACCCGTCTGAGGCAGCACTAGCACAGGAGCAGTTACACCCAGGTGTAGGCCGCTTTGAGCACTTTGCTGGGGGGAGTAGCAGTAGTGGGAGTGCTGGGGGATTAGGAGGATTAGTAACATCAGCACCTCCACCCCCTCCTCCTCTGCATCCCGGGCTCTCTGTTCCCCAGGCATCACCTGGCCCCTCCTCTTCCTCTCCTTCCCCCTCAACCTCTGTGGCCACCTCTAACAATCCTGCTAGCAGCAGTGCAGTCAGCTCACTGGGACACCAGTTGGTTGGGGCCCAGTCTGATGCACGCAGCCTTCACCAACAGTTTAGTTGCATGTTAGCTGCTAATCAGTATTTTCTTTCTGGGGTGCCTGCTAATGCTAGTTTAGAACAGTTCCTTGTTCAACAGGGAACCCATAACCACTTAGGGATTGGTTTAAGTCAAACGGGTGGGGAGCCTAGTACTAGCCTTGCCCCTCCTCCTGCTTTGCATTCTTCTCACTCACATGGCCACTCCACTCCCCAACCACAGCAGGCTTCGCAGCAACCTCCCCAGCAGCAACAGCTCCCACCTCACACCCTGTCTCATCCTCACTCTCATTCTCATCCGCACCACCCTCTCCACCCAGGCTCCCAGCCCTCATCACTGGGTGGCTTTGACTTCCAGGGCATTCCTGTACTCTCATCAAATCAGATAGCCTCTCTAATGCAGCAGGAAGCAGGTTTGCCCCTCCCCTTACCACTCCATTTATCCTTATCTAAGGAGGATGGTAAGGGGGAAAGCAGTGGAGGTGGAAGTGGTGGTGGCAGTAGCAGTAGAAGGAAGAAAGCAATGGCCGGCTATCTGCCACAGAGAAAATCTGATAGCAGTAGTAGTAGCAGTAGCAGCCATGGGCACGGTAGCCACAGTGGTAATCCTAGCACTAATAGCAATGGGGGGCTTAGTCATGGGCACCCCCCAGCTTTAATTGGCAGTGGGGTTGGTATAGCAAATATGGGTGGAGACCCGTCATCCCTTCTTGCCTCATCATCTTCATCCTCATCAGTAGTTTCTTCTTCCTCCTCCTCTGCTCCCTCTTCCACTGCTGCCTCAGTACTAGTTACTAATGATTCTCAGCTTGCTAAATCTGATAACCAGAGCTCAATGCAACCCAACGCTGCAGAGTCTGACACAGAGCCAGTTTATAGCTGTGGAGATTGTGGCAAAAGCTTCCCTCAACTTTCAAGCCTTCGCAGGCATTTGCGCATGCATGAGCCAACCACAGCAGGTACTAGCAATACTGCCACCACAGGCCCAAACCCTATTCACATTAAAACACAGACCGACCCAAGTCTACCCCATTCGACCCAAGAACCTCCTCCACCCTCAACCAATTCTTGTCCTAGCCCAGACAAAATTTTTCACTGTCCCGATTGTGGCAAAGGCTTTAAGAAAAAAGGGCACCTCCTGCAACATGGCGTTATACACTCGTCAGCCCGCCCATATGGCTGCTCCACCTGCTCTCGGGCTTTTAACCGTAGAGAGTCACTGACACGCCATGAGAAGATACATGAGGAAAAGCCATTTCGATGTCCCGCCTGTGGTCGTGCCTTCCGTGAGAGCACCTCTCTTCTCAACCATGCTGCCTCAGGCACCTGCGGCAAGCCAGGTAGGGGACCCAAACAACGGGGCGGCAAGACAGGAACTGATGGTGAGGACAGAGTCGGGGGAGGGGGTGGAGGAGGTAATGGAGGAGGGGGAACTTATCAGAGCAATAGAGGGGTTATATATGGGAAAACTGAGGAAGAGGATGGTGTAATCATTGTGGGGGAAGGAGAACCAAAATCAGGTTTGGGATGTGATGGTCTGTTTCAGTCTGGAAGGGGAGGGAATTCAAATGACAGGGACAGAACAGATGGTAAATACCCCACTGACTACTCTCGGAATCGTTACACAGGCTACCATGATGACCACCGTTCTCAAGGTAATCCGTCTCCATGCTACTCTGGTGCCTCCCCCTGTGGAAGTGGGATGGCGGGCCCAGCTCTGAGAAAGGCTCCCTTGGCCCCAACTCTGCATCCACACTCACAGAGCCACAACCAGCACCACCATCCGCAGCAACAACCCCACCTGCCCCTCTCTTCTCTACTGGATGACTCAGAGGATGATGTCACTAGCTCTGTCAATAATGCGATCTCTGCTATAACAGCAGCTAGTAACAGTGGAAATAGAGGGGATGATAGGGGAGACATCATAGGAGGCCTGCTAGGTGGTCTTGGTTTAGGACCTTTGGGCTCACCTTCATCCACATCTGGTTTGGATAAGAATTTCAGAGCTGGTGGGAGCCAGGAGGCTTTGAGCAGCAACCCACAGAATCCTACTGCCAAACCAAAACGTCCTCGCAAACCAAGAGCTAAGAAAGATCCCTCAGCCTGTGGACAGCCCCCAAAACGTCGTCAATACACCCCCCGGATGGGTCCCAGCGGCTTACCACGCACCCACCTTTGCAGTGTCTGTGGTAAGGGATTTGCACGCCGCGAGACCTTACGCAGGCACGACCGCATCCACACTGGAGAAAAGCCCCATCACTGCACTATTTGCGGAAAGTATTTTAGAGAGGCTTTTCATCTCAGCAAGCATCAAACAGTCCACTCTGGAGCAAAGAATTACAAATGCACCATCTGTGGGAAAGAGTTTGGTTACTCTCAAAGCCTCAGGAGACACAGCAAACTCCACCAGAAAGGCGAGCTTGAAGAGGTCCCCACAACACCAGCTCCAGAGAACCTTAACAGCTTTAATCCAAATCCTCAATGTAGCGTGGTGCAAGACAGGAACCAGAATCAAGCACCAAGCACCTCTTCCTACTACCCCTACTCTCAAGACGTCAAGCCTCAAGACACCAACCCTCAGCCGCAGCCTCCTCCCCAACAGCAGCCCCCGCCGCCCCCTCGACTCTACACCTGCGCTATATGCTGGAAGTCTTTCCGTCATCACTTTCATCTGACTGCCCATCACCAAACCGTGCACGAAAGCGGGGGAGAAAAGCTCTCCTGTGAGGTATGTGGGAAAGCATTTGCCTACTCTAACAGCCTCACTCGGCACAGGCAGTCTCAGCACGGGATTACCCGCTCTGAACCGCCTAACCCGCAAGAGGGCAGCAGCAGTTCTGGAGACAACAGAGGTGGAAGTGATGTTAATCAGTCAGCGTCAGAGAGCGAGGCCGCCACCAATGCCCTGCTTCAGATGGCTCCCTCCACTGAAGCCCACGGAGGGCAGGGTCTTAGTGTTGTGACACATAGCATCCAACAGGCACCCCAACAGCCACCGGCTGGTTACTCCCCCCTCTTTTATGATGCTGCCGCAGCCCAATCTTCTGCCTCCAGCGCTCCGTCTTACTCTCAGCCTCTGCCTCCCAACTCTACCATCATGCCCCCGCAGCACCCGCATTCCCCAGCAGGGGTGAAGGGAGAGCACATTTATCCAGCAGGATCCCGTAGCCGCACGCTTCACACCACCGCCCCGTTCCAGCCCCTCACGGAACTGCCCTCCACTGAACATCACCATCTGCATCACCATCATCATCACTCCCACCATCATCCTCATCATCAGTCAGACACCCAGCCCCACCAACACCTTGACTGCAGCATCCAGCTGTCCCACGAGGACATGAGACGGCACAAGAAGAAAAAAAAAAAGTCTGACAGGAGGGATTGGAGGGAAAATAAATGGGAATCCCAAGGTTTAGTCAGATTTGATGGAGTGAAAAGGAAGAAAAAGATAAGGTGTACAGTAAGAGGGCAGTTGAATAAAAAACAAGGCTCTCTCCGTTTGACAATTAGACGTGGAGGAGGCTCGGGTGGTGGTGGGTATAAGCTTGTCAACACTGGCGGAATGAAGGTGCAGATCCTGTCATCTCTCAAAGTTCCCGTGAAACGCTTTGGATGTCCCATATGCCCTAATTCTGTGTTTTCCCGTAAAGCGGGACTGCTGATACACATGGCAGTAAAACACCCTCAAACCGCCTTGAGCACTCAGGAGCGACTCAGGTGCAGTGTGTGTGGGAAGCAGTCCCACCGGGCCTTGGCAGCCTTCATCCACCGGGCCTCCCATCGGGCCAGAGGGACTTTCTCCTGCCGACACTGTTCCTCTCGCTTTTGGAATGCAACACTTCTTCACAGGCACAAAGTGTCCTGCCGTCGCAGGGCCAAGGGACTACAGCGAGGAGATGCCCAGAGGCTGAGGCTGTCGAACAGACCGGGAGAAAGACAGACCCACCAGGGTCAGGAGGAGATGCCATTCCTGCAGGGACCATACAGATACTGAGCATCCTCCTGCCTGAAAAGAGTGGCACACAAGAGGGATTTCCCCAGTTCTAAAATAGGAAAGTGTAAGAGAAAAAGGACTTGAAAAAGTATCTGCCTCATGTCCCTGTTGCATCTACTCTGCTGAACATTAGAATGAGTGTGTTAACAACTACTGTAGAACAACCTATAAAATATTACCTGAGATTCTTCCATATTATATTGGAAGGTGTTTTCAAAGACATGACTGTTTCCATAGGATCATTAATTAACCCCTTAAGTGCATTGACACTATATGCTTGGCTGACACTGTGCAGTTAACTAGACAAGTTTAGGTGAAATTACCTGCTAATGTATCTCTTTTTCCCATAACTAAAATCCCCGCTACACCTCTTGCTGTATGATATGTGTCTCTGCTGTGTATTTTGTCTTGATGTTGTTCACTTAGAGGCTCTGAGGAATTTTTGTTTCTTTTTATTCTTCATGTAAAGTGCATTTACTAGGAGTAGGGACAAGGGGACAAAGACCTTTTATCGTCGGTGCATGTATGTTCTCTGGTTTTTTGCTGAGGTTGTGAAATCACTCCAACAGTATGTGACGGTTTATTCAGTATATCCCCTGACGTTTGTAGTGTAAACTTGATTTGAAAAATACTCTAAAATCCCTGGTGATTTAATCACATATAAAAAAAAAGTCAAAGTTGTTGGTAATTAACATGACAAGGATCCCTCTCCTGCCAAAATGAAGAATCTTACAAGAAGCCTTGCTTATGATGTTCACTTTACTTCGATCATTTGAGATATTCCTAGCTTTTATACCAAGAGATTGAAAACAGGTTAAACGAGTTGACTGTAACATGTTTATCTCACGTTATTTGTATGCTCTTTTTAGCAGTGATTATTTCTACAGTACTTCACAGTGTGTTAAAGACAAGGACCTATCATGATAGATACAAATGTAATATTCCATGTATTTATGTGTGTAACCCAATCAGTCTTCATGCCAATCTTACACTTACCCCTCCTAGGTTTTACTTTTTGCAATCATATTCTTACTGTCAAGCCTTGTTTTTTTCTTCTAAAGAAAATAAGTTTTAAAGTACATCCTGTCACTTTAGTCACACATGAAATGTTCATACCCCTGTCAAGCCTTGTTTTTTTTCTTCTAAAGAAAATGATAGTTTTAGTAGATTTCTATTACATTATTTACTGAGAAGTCAGTAGTTGATTATATTTCAGTAATGAATAAACCTTAAGTGTAATAATTTGTTTTCCCTTCATTTCTGATTCAGTTGACCGGCAACAATATTTAGAAAATGGTGACTCCACACTCATTACCAAAGTCGGCATAGAGGTTTTTCAGTTTAGCCATGTGTCAAATACGAATGTCAAAATGTCATGTTGCTCTATGGATAAAATGGGTGTTGGGATTTAGTAAGTAATATAATTGCACGTGAAATAAAGGAGTCACTGCTAATGTTTTTGGCCTGATAACTCCTGGAAAATAAAATGGAAAATTAACGATTGCCAATTAAGGCTTTTCCACCACCATCCCCGTGCGGAGAGGAAATGGCTCTTAAAACGGCGTGCTGTGGGCCCACTAGATGGCAGTAAGAAACTCATGACAGTGTTCTTGGCCTGGTAGGGACGTGTGTGGCAGTCACATGGATCAAACTGTGACAGAGGGTGAACTCAGATGAGGCGAAGTGCTGAAGACTGAGTTATGTGGCTGTCTGATGTTTACTACAAGATTAAAGCCACAAAGCAAACAAAACCATTGAGCACCACAGCAATTACGGAAGGCTCACCTAGAAACCAAAGAAACTTGTCTCGGATGTTTCGCTCATTGTGTGCAGATTTGTGGAGGCAAATATTGTGAACCTAAGCTTTGAATAACAGTGGTGATAATTCTGAACTGTAGATATGAAATGGGATGATTCAGAGACAGCAGCTTCACGTGGACTAACAAGAGGTCACAATGATGGAATATAGAGGTTTATTTTAAGCTGAAACGGTGCTCAGTGAAGTCACTGGGTGTCAGTCTA